ATAAACATAATAAATATATATATATATATATATATATATATATTTTAAAAGAAAAGGGAAAAGGAGTAGGGAAAAAATAAGAATATTAAAATTTAGAGACCAAGATGGAGTAGTGGTGGGCGGTTGGGTGGGGGAAGTTAGAAATGGGAAGTGGGTGGAGGTGGCGTCATATAGCAAAATGGTGAAAGGCAAAACGCATAAATTTAATTGCTCTTTGGACCCACCACACCACCGTGGAGACACACTCACACTCCACGTCTCCTAATTTTGCTTCCGTGGACACCATCTTTTTTTTTTCTTTCACAAAATCTATTACAAAAATTCAAAAAAAGAAGAAAGTGTATATTTACATAATGTTTCAAAAGTCATATTACTTTTTTCTTTTTAAAATAAAGTATGAAAAATTACAAATAAACGCATAAATTAATGAATTTGTTGCAGTTAAAACTTTAAATATTGCGCAAAACCATGCCTAAAATAAAATACTATACCTAATGTTACACAATAAGTGTGTGTTTTAGGTCCATGTCAAAATCATTTTCGTTTTCATTTTCATCGTGTGTTTGGTAAATTAAAATATTGATTTTAGTAAACTTTAAAATCATTTTTAGATTGTGATTTTGAAAAATCAATTGTACTCATTTTTTTTTAAAATACAAGAATTAAAATAAATAAATATATAAAGTTAGAAAGCAATATAAGATTTGAACATAAATTATAATAAATCAAAGGCAATCTATAAATCCTCATGATACCATAATTGCATTTTGGGGTCATTTTCAAGAAAAATGAAAGAGGAAAAAAGGAAAAGAGAGAAAAGGTTCTAACTTTTGTACAACATGACAAGTGTAACATTATTTCCTTAATTCAATTTATATCCATGAAGTTTTTTTAAAATATTAAAAGCACTAATACAAGATAGCTTAGCTTTTTGAAAATAAACAAAAAAATTAAGAAGGACCAATGTTTTTTAAAAATTCGAAATCTAGTGTCAATTGAATTTTAGACAAACCATTATGAATAAATCGTATGATGCATTTTTAGGATGTGTACTTTTTAAATGTCCATTTTGATGATTACACTTTTAATTTTTTATTCATTTTAGTCTCTATATTTTGAAAATATTTGTTTTCGTCTACTTTAATTTCTATTTGCAAAATTTTAACACAAATTTTATACACAATGAAATGAAATTCTTTAGTATAAAGATATGATTATCTATACTAGGGGCTATGGAGGAGAATCTTTACCTCCCCATTTTGTCCTTCACATTTCTACGAAACACGACTGTTCGAGTTAAAGTGTCTGTTGATATAACAAATTCAAAAAGTTGTGACCATTCGATGAAACAAGGAGTTTAATCCAAAAGAGTTGTAACTGTTCGAGTGAAAATATGTGTTGAGAGAAGTTTAATCCAATGAAAATTATAACTATTTGATGAAGTGATGCACCTACCCATGTCATAGCAAATAATCTATGAAATGAAAGATTATGTTTTTTTTCTTTTATGACCTAAAACTCATTTCCAAAATATTAATGAAGATTTTTCTTATTTTCATGAGTGAAAATTGAACCATGTCAAAAGAATATTTGAGATTCCAGAAACATATTTAATCGATTAAGAGGTACAGTAACAAAATCATGTATTCGTATTATCTTCAACTTTTATTTCTTTTAGATTATTTTAATATTTTTATGTAGATTACTTTTAAGTTATATATTCACGATACCTTCGTGTTTTAATGTTTAGTTAATGTTATTTTCAAGTTTGATTTAATATTTAGTTAAGGTTTTAAAATATATTCATGTTATATTTTAGTATTTGTTTTCATATTTATCTTGATATGATTTTTTGATTACTGTTGTTCTTATTTTATTTTTCTTGGTCATATGATTCTTTATTCCACATTTTTTCAATGATTTCATGACATACATAGTATTCAGTTTCT